CAGCAAGTGGATGACTCAAAACTATGGAGGTTTATGCAAAATGTGCAGTTTTTACTGGCTCGGCTTTGTATACCATTGCTGACAGTGATATATTCCAGATGGTTTTCAACTATGCAAGTTGAGAGAGTACAGTACATAGAAGATTATCTAGATTTACTTCTGAACATAACTCTGACATCCACTGAGACTTACTGTAAAATATTTCTTTCTAAATGCATCTGTTTTCAAAGACAGACGAACTCACACAACATATATACACTTTATTTTAGTATTGCAGGATATTTGCTGAAAGCGTTGCAGTTTCCAGGCCTTTTTAGATGTGTTTGTCTGTATATTCAAAATATTTTACTATTTCTTGTAAATTGCCACAGGGATGCAACTGAAGAACAATTGCATAATGCCTTGAAATAAATGCTTATAAGCCAACATTTCAACAAAGTCGAATGGGTATCCACATGATTTTCAGCTCATTGATAAAAAAATAATAATCTTGCAGCAAAAGTTAAGGCAATAGATAGGCTTTGCTCAGTGTCTGCATAGAATTCCAGTGACAATCCTACATAAACCTCTCAGTGCCTTCAATAAAGAAATGGCAGGCACCTTTTAAAAAAATCAAATTGAAGCATCAATTCATCCATCCCAAACTACACCTGTCTGTCATGCTAAACCAACAGCAATTCCTTCATACTTCTTGAGCGGCAATCACTCTCTCTGATATAAGCTCCTGACAGAAATGTGGTCTCTGAGAATCAAGAGGGAGGCATCAACTTGCTAGAAAGAGCCCCATTTTAAAAATATACTTTGCAAAAGTGGGCAATTCTTTCCCCAACAGCCACAGCTCAGAGGTGACTGAAGATGTTCCTTAGCTATGGGATATTCAGCGTCAGATGGAAAGAAGAAGTGGAAAATACCGGGGTCAGATGGGAGAAAGAGGAAACAATAAGTTACTGGAGGATGTGGCACCATGGATTAGGAGGAACTGAGAGGTGTTCGATGCAAGAACTCATATTTTCTGAACAATTTGTTACAGGTTTCACTTGTGAATAATTCATATGCAACCCACTGGAAAGTTTCTGTTTCTTGCAAATTTCAGTGAGTAGAAAAGGTAGGAAACGGCAAGTAATTAAAACGTTCAGCTGCTTGTGTAGTGAATAAGTTGGACCTTATTTATAGTTTCTGATTTTTGAACATTTCCATCACAGCTGGGATAAACATTTACAAGAAAACAAGCTGTTCAATTGTTGGGCAACTTTGTTCTTGGGTTGTTGTAGGTTTTCTGGGCTGTATGGCCATGTTCTAGAAGCATTCTCTCCTAACATTTCATCGGCATCTATGGCAGGCATCCTCAGAGGTTGTGACCTCACAACCTCTGAGGATGCCTGCCATAGATGCAGGTGAAATGTCAGGAGAGAATGCTTCTAACACATAGCCATACAGTCCAGAAAACCTACATCAACCCACTGATTCTGGCCATGAAAGCGTTCAACAAAACTTTGTTCTTATTTGCAGTTTTGTTTTCCTTGTGAACTTCTGCCAGTAGAAGTAAGAAGAGGGATTTGCAAGAAATGATAAATTGTTTATTTTTATAATGGCCACATATTGATTAGGGTCAGACTCATTCATATCAACTGGACTCCTAAACACACTATGACTTTGGAATAAATATACAGAGGATTGTGCATAGACATATCCTTAGGATGCAGTCTGTCTGAAGAAGAATGGCACCCCTTCAGTGTTCTCCCTCTAGATCAGTGGTTCTCAACCTGGGGTCCCCAAATGTTTTTGGCCTTCAACTCCCAGAAATCCCAATAGCTTGTAAACTGGCTGGGATTTCTGGGAGTTGTAGGCCTTAAACATCTGGGGACCCCAAGTTGAGAACCACTGCATAGATTCTCATGGTGTTCTACAAAGTGGGTGGAGGGACAAAGGAAATTCCCTCATGTTGACTCATCTTCACAGACCCTAGCTAAGAAACCATCTGGTAAGCCTTGAGGGAAGTCACTTTCGACCTCTTTGTGGCGAATCTGGTGGTCCCAGGTGGACGGCGTGGGGGATCTGTTGCCCCATGCTCCAAATCACCCGGCTTCCCCTCTACCTCATCCCATGGAGGGAAGAATCCGCTACCTGGCTTCCCCCATTGATTCCAATTGAACATAGGAAGCATCCCATGTTGCCACCATGGCTGCATGTGCCGGTTTCTCTATAGTAGTGGTTCTCAACCTGTGGGTCCCCAAATGTTTTGGCCTTCAACTCCAAGAAATCCTAATAGCTGGTAAACTGGCTGGGATTTCTCTGAGTTGTAGGCCAAAACACCTGGGGACCTACAGGTTGAGAACCACTACTCTATAGTTTTACGGTGGAGCCCCACCAGAAGTAGTTAGGACAGGAAGATAGCGGGCTTTGTCAAAAACTATAGAGGAATGTGCATGCCACCAAAAAATACCCCATCTGATAAGGTCATTTGTGTCCGCCCACAGTTGTTGGGGGATAAAGTGTGGAGAAATGAAGACACATATAGAATTCCTTTGGGGAGGGGGGAAGTGAAGGAAGGGTAATGACTATTACTAATGCAGAAGTAAATTTAGGCAACTTTACCTGGCTAACACAATATGGACCTTTAAAAAGGCTACACATATTTTTCTATCTACGAAGCCTTTTGGCAAAATCAGCTAGCCCTAAAATAGTCATCAATTAGGTTGGCCCACTCTTTTAAGGTTCTTAAGATTTCATATTATCTCTTTTTATCCAATGGCTTGTAAAGTCTCCTTTTTAAATTATTTAAAACATATTTTCAAGCGAGGGGTGTTTGAACGCATGTATAAGGAAGGACCACTGTAAATATTTCCACTGGATTACTATTTTAGTTTGCTGCTACAAGGTCCTTTTTTGTGGACAGGTTGTGAAAATAACATTTTCTTTTCAAGAATATGCTATAAATAGGAAAAGGACCTTGTCCACCGACATTCAAAACAGTCTTTTAATAACGATACCCTGGATTGATTCCACTGCATTTTAGGCTAGTTTCCTCCACTGTTCAACCAGCGGAAATTGTGCATGCAACTCCTTGCCTGTTTCCCCTTTCCCAAAGCCCGAGACACACATTTTCTGCATGACTTGTTAACAGCAGCAGTTCCTGAGCTGAAGAAGGTTGGAAAATAAGGCAGCACACGAGGCGCTCGAAATATGTCAGATGCTAAATGGGTCACGGAAACATCCCTGCCTGACCAATTGTGTAGGCTCTCAAACAAAGCTGTCTATTGTTGGCCCAAGGGTCACCCCACAAGACGACAGGCCTGAACTGCCTGGGAAGGAAAGGCTTCTTATTTTAAAAGCCTATTAACACATATCAGCAATGGAATAGGAGCTGGAGAGTTGCTTCTAGGGCATACATAACTGCTCAAATGAAAGGAAGTGGAACTACATGAGACTGAGCCAACTGATCTCAAACTATATAAAATTTGGGGGGATCTGGGATACAGCTGGAGCCAGAGGATTTGTTCCTTTGCAGGAAAGGATAGGGACAATTTTGGGAAAGTTTTTTTCCCCCCGAAAAGAGGTGTAGATCCAACTAGTAATGTTTACAGGTAATGAGGGATTCTTTGCTTTGATACCACTGTCTTTTTGTGTACTCAGTTTACTCCCTAGATTTAAACAACTTGCAAAGGAACTGGTTCTTTTTATTCTGAGCATACTGAATGAATCAAAATCTGGTTCTGACTCAAAGAGTGATATGTACAGTTTTTTAAAAAAAATGAAAATGATATATTATACAGATTTAGATAGACACACATATTATTGAAACACTCGGAGAACTATACAATTACTTCTGCCAGCTCATATTGAATCTGTACTTTCTCTCTATCATTTGGCATGTAGTTTTTAAAAAAACAACTGAAATGACAAAATACATTTCAGGATATTATATAGGGTTTTCTTTTCCAAAACTGCCAACCTAGCAGTTCGAAAACATGCAAATGTGAGTAGATCAATAGGTACTGCTTTGGTGGGAAGGTAACGGCGCTCCATGCAGTCATGCCAGCCACATGATCTTGGAGGTGTCTATGGACTCTTCGGCTTAGAAATGGAGATGAGCACCACCCCCCACCACCACCCCTAAGATGGACACGACTGGACTAAATATCGGGGAAAACCTTTACCTTTCTTTTTCAGGGAAAAATGGCCCAAGGCCACTGTGTACTTCTTATACAAATATACAAAATTATTTCCTCCAATAAGTCTTAGGTAGAATACATGGTCTTTTTTCTTGCGCATTATATTTATAGTAACCCTGGGGGATAGACAGGAGTGACACATAACTGTCTTAAGGTCATCCAGGACAATTTCCTTGCTCACTGTAGCCCTTAATATTTTTTTTAAATAAAATAAAAACAGACTTGAATTCACCCAGGAATTTAGGAATCCTCCCATTTCCATAACACAGAAAGGCTATTCTATATGTCACTTCAAGCAATCCATGACTGACGGGATTCAGCAGAAGTATAACCTCTCCCCCTCTCACAAAACAACAGAATAGGGACCATGGCATTGCCAAAAAACTGATGAAAATTGGGAAAGCAACCCACTCCTAATAAATTACCCAGCCAACATAACTAGCCCACCAGTCATGTGGATTGGTGTACTAGATGTTTTGGGGAACTGTAACCACCAAATTTACTTTCCCAACCTCTGGGACTATCAGACACAATCCTAGAATGGGAGACAGAGGTCCAATGAGGCCATATTCCTAGCAAAAGGCCACTCAGGACAGCCACTTTCTTCCATTTTTGCTAAGTGCTATTGCTCAACACAGCCCAAGAAAGTGAGATGGGTAAAAATTATGACCATTTTGAAAATCTGTCACCACAAAGAAAAGACAACACACCAGAGTCTTGTTTATGATTGTCTATCCCAACTGTATTACTCTTTAAAGGTTTCATCTCACCTTCATCTTTGCAATTCATTGAAACCCTACTATAAAAACAACAAACATGTTACATTACCTGTGGTATCAAATACAATTGGCTGGCAGTTTCTTCTGTTAGAGTTCCAGTTGCATTTTAGTACCTGGCCACCTTGTACAATTCCAGGTTGACTTGTGTTTGCTTTTGGAGCACCCACCAGGAGAGACATCCTGAAAGAAAGAAGCAAAAAACAGCTGCTCATTAGTCTATGGAATACATTAGGTGAATACGCCCATTGAGCTGGATAATTCAGTGTAAGCACTGTTTAGGCAGCTGATATAATACAACGGTAGAGGTAGCAGTGGTAGCAGCTGCAGTTATAGTAGTAATAGTAGGGATGAGTGCTATATGGGAACCAAGGTTCTTGTGAATGATTTATTTATTATTTACAGTATTTATATTCCGCCCTTCTCACCCCGCAGGAGACTCAGGGCGGATTACAATGCGCGTCTACATGGCAAATATCCAATGCCATTTAGACACATATATAGACAGACATAGAGGCAATTTAACATTCCAGCTTTTCCGGCTTCATGAAGGTATGCTCGGTTCTGGCCACAGGGAGAGCTGCTGCTTCACAGTCCACTTGTGACACCGAGTCCTTTGATGGAATACTTCTTCATTCTTCCTCGCTGCTGGAAGGTTTTATGGCGTCATAAATTAGTTAAATTAGCCTCCCCGTATAAATTGGTACCTAAATTTCCTACTTGACTGATGCAACTGTCTTTCAGGCTGCATAGGTCAACAGCAAACTAGACTATTAATGGCCAGGAGCTCACTCCGACCCAGGCTGGCTTTGAACTCATGACCTCTCGGTCATTAGTAATTTAATGCAGCTAGCTCCTAACTAGCTGGACTACAGCCCGGTCCAATTGATGTGATATTCTTATTATTATTTTTCCTTCACTGACAAATTTGTAATGCAGTCAGGTCTTCAAACCATCAGGCCAATGTCACACTCACAAGTCACGTATGAAATCCCAATCCAATCCAACCCAAGGTCCCAAGAGGCAGATCACAACTGGGAGATTACTTTAACAGAATTATGACTCTGTTTTATGGATTTTTACAACTTAGACACTCTATTTACAAGACCTAGGATCAAAGAAGGAATGACAGAAACCCGCATGTACCCCTTCAGGTAACAACGAGGACAGAATGAAGCTATAAAATCAAAAAGTGAGAAGGCAGAATTTAACTGGACAGTCAGAGTGATCTGGAAGCTCAAATATTTCCAGTGTTCGGATACTTAGGAACATGTAAGGTTTATTGATTTCCTAAGTTTGGAAATTATTCTTTAAATTTGTATTTCATATTATAAAGGAATTTCAGCATTTAACTCTCCACTCAGCAAACCTACTGAAGTGCAAAACAAATCAGCTCCAAAAAATAAAATAAAACGTTTCTGGCAATCATTACTTTACAGCACATTCCTTTCACTAAAGAAATGCATCTTCTAGCCCTCTGCCTCACCCCACCCTTTTAAGCATTACCGTTTTATAAATTACAAGGCACAGTTGCATTAACACAAAGTATTACCATTCCATTAAACTCCGTCAGAGAAATTCCCCCAACTAACTGATCTCACATATTTTTTTATATCTTGATTTGATGGGTCCTCACTGAGATAGGAGTCAAACAATAGTTTTAAAATAAGAAGAGAAAAAAGGCCCAGTGCTGCAATATTACAGTTCTAATATTAACCATGCCAGCAAATAAATGCAAAACATATGGCTTACAAACTGTTCTACCCAACACAGTATCTCACAACAGAACGTTTTGCCAGGGCCATTAAAGCTGGCCAACACAAATGTTTAGGACTCAAGTGTTACAAGTTGATCCTACAGATATGAACCACTGCAACACTAAGCCACAGAGCATGGGGTGTGCCAACACAGAATGCCTGAGCTCCAAAAGGAATATAGTTTCTTATATCTTTCTTGTAAGGCCCATTCCTTATGTCTCTCTGTGTGTCTGTGCATCTATAGATCCATTATGCATATATTTTACTCGTCGTCTTCATCACAATGATTCAAAAACAGAGATCAACCTATATCCTACTCTAGAAATGTAAAAGCCTGGAAGAAAAAAAAAACCTGGAACATTTTTCCTATTTTCTTTTTTTTCTCCAAAGCCTTACCTTTTCCAAGATTTTTTTTAAGTGATCATGGAACATTTTTTTTTGAATGATGCATAAGATGTTTAAAACATGGCGTTTATATATACCTACAAAATTATTTCTTGAAAACATCATAGACCACTGCCAACAGTATTACACCATGGTGCCTCTCTTCAGTCTCTGAAGGGTGCAAATATTGCAATTTGTTATCAGCTTTCCCAAATATTCCTGTTATAAAAAGCCTAAATCCTTCCCACGGAGATTCCAAACCTTCAGCATTTAAAAAATCTTTATCATACTCTCATGACTAAAGAGATTTCCAGGATTACTCTGCCCTTCCAACTTCTTCTCACCTCATCTATCACCACTTTCAATAAATTTTAGAAATCTAGATGGTTTCACTTTGATTCAGGATGCTTATTAGAAACTAAAACCATTCACTTCAGGATGAAATTACGTCTGCGGAGATCACAGAGTGCCAATTGCCACAAGCCAACGGCTTTAGCTTTGTGCCAGCTTCACAGTCATAGCCCAGCTCTGTAGGCCTCGTGACCCTGTGCTTTCAATAACAGGAGCACTCCCGAGCTCAGTTCCTCACACCGAGTTTGGGATACAGATCTGTTTGGCACCTATATGATTATTTCATATGCCCAGGATTTGATTTTCTGACATTACTGCGAATTCACTATTACAATTCACAGAGTTACTGGATACATTCGACTAGGAAATACTGATCCCTGCTCTCTGAAAATGATTATATGACAATATAATTGTTTAAAAATATTCTATGTATGTGTTTTATAATTTTTTTAAAAAGTCTTTAGAAAAATTAAGCAAATGTTAAATGTGATTTCTTGGGGTAAAACATCATACGGTGGGATGTTGGTATCCACTGGGGTTTGGTTTCATGTCACCCCTGATACAACATTTGTGGATGCTCCGGTCCAATTATATACAATGACACAGTAAAATGAGGCTGTTTATATAAAATGACAAAATTTGCTTTTTTGTACATAAAAAAACAATATGCAAAAAAATTGGAAACATTTGTGTTCTTGTTTTGAAAGTGCTATTTCCTGTTAAATACTTTGAAAGTATTTGTTATGTTCCAGAAACTTAGTTTTTGTGGCTGCTGCAAACTATGTTGATTTGATTGAGATTCTATGGGATATTCATTGACAAACTATAGCAAAATATGATACAGGATGTCCCGCAAAAGGAACGTTTTTGCAGTTTAATAAACTTTTTGCATGTTTTTTATTATAGTTCCAACTAGGAAATGACATTTATAACCTAGGAACAAAAATCGTGATACATAGTGTAATCAACTTATGGATGGTTCAATTCATGAATGCAGAATTTGTGGTTATGGAGAGCTGTTTATTTATGCTCCTAAAATTTTGGAAAGTCTCTTACACAATAGTATCTCAGAGCACTGAAACACTTCAGAACAAACACTGGCTAATCGATTAATATGGCTTTGGTGTTGGGACTGAGGCTGTAATTTATGTTAAATATTTGATTTCCTTTTTCAAACACTCAAGTTGGCAAACTGACAAGAGAAGCAACAACTAAAGCCACTGCAACTTCAGACAAAATAAACTGAATGTTCAAGCAGAGGTTTTCCAAAACAGCAAATCTGTTTCAACCCAAACAGCACATATTTCCCACCCAAAAACATGAGTGTTGGGTAGGAAATATGGGAGAGCAAATTTCAGTCCCAGGGTTGCATGAAGTTCTTGAACACGATCCTTCAGACTAAATGCAAACACACTCTACAAGTGTGTTCTGGGGAAGACGGGGAGAGGGAGAAAGAGATAGAGAAAGGGTGGCCATTTGAAAAAAAAAATCAGGCTTAACTTCTCTTGATTCCTGTCTCCATACTCTACTGATTTCACCCAGTCCACAACCAAACTGGCCTATGGCCCCCTAAGAAATAAAATAATGGCTGCAAACCCCTATTTTAGAGATAGCAACATCATTCTTGTCATCAGCCAGAATGAGGTGGTGTTTCAATGTGGTACAACTCTGGAGCCAATATGGAAAGGATGGGACACAGCATAATCCATTAGGAAGTCTGATTGTTCAAGCCCTATTGGAATAAAGCTCTATAGGAACATAATACTGTTAGTTTGTTAGTTGTGCAATAAGTGCAATCAAGTTGTCCCATTAAATTAAGGTGACCCCATGAATTCCATAAGGTTTTCTTAGCCAAGTAATTCTCAGAGGTGGTTTTGCCAGTACCGTCCTCTGAGATATAGTCTATGGCACTTGGTATGGTTGCTGGGCTCCCATCTTAGGGGCCCTGCTTAGCTTCCCAGTTCAGGCAGGATCTGATGTCTTTAGTGTATTACTCATAGAAATTAGAGGCAGGAAGGAGTTGTTAGATTTTCACCCCCAAACTAAAAGAGTTACACCTCTAGCTGTAACACTTGCCATGAATTTTAAGATCCTGGTCAATAGTTTGACATGAACAGCATACTGTAATGCATGAATGGGCAAGTTGCAGCCCTCCAGCTGTTTTGGACTTCAACTCCCAGAAATCGCAGCCAGTTTACCAACAGTTAGGAATTGTGGGATTTGAAGTCTAAAACGCCTGGAGGGCTGAAGTTTGCCCATACTTACTCAATGTCGTAATAACCGAAATGCCTTCACACCACCCACATGTTTTCATATTAACTGTGTCTTGAATAGTGACTCTTTAACACAGATATTTACTTACTTACTTACTTACTTACTTACTTACTATATTTGTATACCGCTCTTCTCAGCCCTGGGGCGACTCAGGGCAGTTAACAATAGCAAAATTCAATGCCCAAAAACATCATAAAACAGTTAAAAACAATTAAAACAGTAGCATATTAAACAGTCAATAGAAATCAATAAAACATCTCATTAGTTTCTCATAGTTAAAATCAAGATCCAGTCTCATCATCCAATTGTTCCATATTTCTATTTTGTTACACTGCCTATTCAAATGCCTGCTTGAACAACCAGGTCTTCACTTTCCTCCAAAATGTCAACAGGGAGGGGGCCAATCTAATATCTTTA